ACGATCTAGCCTCCGCCTAAACACATAAAACAAATACTCCCATAAATATAACTATACTCTAACCTTTCTTAACATCCTCAGAAGGGTAAAAGACCATTTTACTCCTCTTCTGGCTCAAAAGGCCTCACTGCTAACCACACCCTAAAAGTCAACCAAAGTCAACGGTCAAACTTTGACTCGACTTGGCGAGTGCACTTGGGCAACTCGGCGAGTCCACCTATGTCCAGTTAACTCCTTAGTCCCATTTTAACACGTCGAGTCCCTCCCTTTACTCGACGAGTCCCCAGGCAAGAATCACGGGGCTACCCTGACTCAACTCGCCGAGTCCCCAAGAACAACTCGGCGAGTACATGCCATGTACAAGTTCTATTGACCTCCTGAGGTCAGATCCGTTCCTCAAATCCATAGATCTAAACTTCCCAAGCAATATAATCATGTAAAGCTCGAAACTTGATGCTTATATATATATATATACATACATACATACATAATGGCATCAAATGGTGATTTAGTCCCAAAAATGGCAACCTAAGTCCAATCACCCCACAAGGACTCATAAAGCTTAATGGATTGAAGTCTCTGGACCTCTTTAAGTCCGGATCCAAAGCATAGACTAGATAAGGGACCAATTGCTCCACATAAACATCCTCAAAAGAGGTTAGAAAACCCTAATCTCTAAGTTCAATATCAAAACTGAAGAAGGTCCGAATGAATACCTCTAGTTGAAGTCTCTGGAATCTAAAACCACTTGAATCACACCTCCTTCAGCCTCCTCTTGCTCTAGATCACCTTCTTTTTTCCAAACCAAGGATAGAAAGATCTATTATGGCTTCTCCTTCCTCCTAAATGATATAGATCACTAAGGGTGCTCTCAAGGGACTGGTAGCCACAATGGAAGGCTAAGAGTGCCCTTAAATAGGCTCCAACCCTGGAGGATTAGGGTTTCATTAAACAGCGTGGACTCGCCGAGTCCAATGCGAACCCGGATGAACAACCACGACCCTACTCGGCGAGTCTACGCATCAACTCGCCGAGTTCCTTCACATAATCCAAAAACAAATATTTAAATAATATACCTGGGATTCCAGATGTTACACGTGGTGCATGCATGATATGTTTAGAAAGCTGTTTCTTTAGATCATCAGATAATTCTGCTAATTGATGGGAAAAATTTTCGAATGGTTGTTCAAAAGTTTCAATTGCCTTTAATGCTTCCGGGGTTATTTCACTGTCTATTAGAGAATATATAACGAAGTTTTTACTGGCATAATTTACTCTGACTCTTGACTTTTGATCTTTACCGTTTCCTATGCGGGATGATGCTAAATAGACACCGGCAAGTGCGAAAACTAGATGATCCTGTGTTGGTATTTCATGGGTTAGATCATCTTTTGTAGGTTTCGAACCATTGCTGATTCCCATGTTTGCGAAGGTGATGCTTGGGACAAGTAGTTGTGAATCTTCATCAAATATTGGATAACTAGAATGCATTTTTATGAATAATCCTTGTAACAGCCCGGAATCTCAAGTATTGTTAAAATTATATTTAGGGGGTGTTTTAAGGGGGGACTCGGCGGGTTGGAGCCAGACTCGCCGAGTAGGATCGCAGACCTGGTCGCGGGTTCGCGACTGGACTCGACGAGTCCAGATAGGGACTCGGCGAGTCTGCGCTATTTAGCGAAAACCCTAGCCGTTTAGGTTTGGGACGTATAAAGGGGACTTATTGGCCGTCATTGTTCGTTTTAGCCTTCTGGGAGGAACCCTAAACCGATTGTGTGCATCTGGAGCAAAGCTAAGGGCCATTGGTGATTTTGAAGGAGTTGTTGTGCAAGGAAGAGAAGGGCTTGGCTAAAGGAACAGCAAGGGGGTCACATTCTGAGGATTGGGGACACAGAGAGCACATTATCTAGGTAAGAATTCGTGTATACTCTGCTATGGTGATGTATTTAGAGGATTAGGGTTTATGGAACCCTTTTGTGGATAGATTGAATGTTACCCTTGTTCCTCAAACGATTGTAACCCTGTATTAGGACCCTTGGAGGTCCAGAATATCCCATGTCTGTGCATTTCGGGAATTGGTGAAGGTTTTGGATTGAAATCCTTATGCCTTAGGTCAACATGTGAATTATAAGTCTCGGGGTGTAGCATGAGCACCTAAATGAAGACCTTACGTGATGGACCAGTCTAGGAGGGCCAGACCTATGAAGGGTCGGAGCAGTTGACCTTAGGAAGCAGTTTGAGCGGCTGCATGGCATGGACTCGCCGAGTCAGATGAGCAGACTCGGCGAGTAGCTTGAAGAATAACTGGGACTCGTCGAGCTGTTCCTCAGACTCGGCGAGTGGAGTCGGGGTGGCCCCGCGATTCTTTCAGGAGTAACTCGTCGAGCCAAGGAGGATACTCGACGAGTAGAAGGGAAACCTTAGAGGACTGGAGGACGACTAGACTCGCCGAGTCGCCAGAAGTACTCGCCGAGCGTCGAGTTGACCGTGGACCGTCGACCAGAGTTGACCTATGTGTAATTTCTTAAGGTCAGTTGTCTTGAAAGATAAAAGTGTTAATAAGGGATGCACAATATTATCCAGGGAGTCTGTAGCTCGGCGGATCGAGTACGAGTGATTTCAGGAGTTGCTAGCTTTCAGTATCCACGAGGTGAGTCTTCTCACTATACCGTACCCGGAAGGGTTTGACTGTGTGACCGAAAGGTCGGATATGATATGTGATATACGTGCTATATGTGGTAAGATAATTGCTATGCGTGCTATGTGTGTTTATATGGGCCGGAAGGCAATATGTTATGGGCCGGAAGGCAATATTTTATGTGACCGGAAGGTCGGGTATGTTATGTAATATATGTGCTATATGTGGTGAGTTAATTGTTATGCGTGCTGTGTATGTTTATGGGCCAGAAGGCAATATGTTATGGGCCGGAAGGCAATATGTTATGGGCCGGAAGGCGAATATGTTATGGGCCGGAAGGTCAGGGCCTGGAAAGGCGTATATCCGTAAGATGTATTTTGGGGAACTCACTAAGCTTCGTGCTTATAGTGTTTTGTGTTATGTTGTTTTCAGGTTCTTTCAGTAACACGGGACGGCACCGGCTCGATTGTACACACCAGAGAAAGAGTTATATGTTGGGGGATCCTGGTTTTCTATTCAAGTGAAAATGAAACTATGTTTTGTAATTCAGTTATGTATGAGATTTTAAACAAGTGTTTTAATATTAAAATGATTATTTTAAACAAAAATTTTGTCTTGAAAATTTCGGTGTTACTAATTGGTATCAGAGCCTTGGTTTGAGGGATTCGGATGCGCCTTCGGGTAAATCTGGACTCAAACTGAGGAAGTAAGAAAAAGTTTTCAAATAAATAGTTTTCTAAAAGTGAATAAGAGTTCAAAGAGAAAGCAAGAAAGAGCAGTGTGTACAATCAGCCAGAGCCCGAACGATGATTTCCCAAAATACCCTTATTTTTGTGTTATGAGATATGTATGATGCACTTTATGAGATATTATTGCATGCTAGAGACAGGCTAGGTATTTCATATGTTAGGACTAGAGTGGCCTGATTTGTGATGCCTTAGCCTAGGACTCGTTGTATATGTGTTATGTTTGAGTATGTGATGAGTGAGAGTATCCAGTTAGAACCCATGAGGGGTAGAGTTACAGAGTTCGGTGGTACTTTCGAGGATGAGCTGAGAAGTTGGAGTTATCACAGGGGGGGAGTCCTATGTATTCTTCGATGCTCGAATGCTGCTTGCTTTGTGCTTTGTGGAACTATCGATGATGGGAGTCAGCTACCAAGTGAATATGACGATATTCAGGAGGTAGATGGCTGGCATCATTAGGAGCTCTTCAGCAGCTGATAGCAAAGAAGTGGAGGACGACGGAAGAGCCTAGGGAATAACCCTATCCAGATGAGTTCGCTGGTAGAGTAGAGGATTTTCGCTGGGGAGCGAGCACGTGCGAAGGGATTGGTGAAAGAGCAGGTCGAGCAGCTACTTAGGAGCTCTGGGATGGTCCGTGTGGAAAGTAATGGGGTAGATGTGGCAGGTAGTATGGGCCCGTACTACTGAAAGCAGAGGACCCATACTTGATACAGGGAGCATTCTGAAGGTCCTAAGGAACGGATTGAGGAGTGATGTTATGGTTCGAGTATCATACATCGGAACAGATTGAGGAGTGATGTTATGGTTCGAGTACCATACATCGGAGCAGATTGAGAAGTAATGCTATGGTTCGAGTACCATACATCGGAGCAGATTGAGGAGTGATG